GATGCTGTCTAGTCTGCTTGTATATAAACGACGTATATCTGAAATACATGATTCATATAGCGGAGGCTTGTATTTATGTTCCTTGACTGAAAGGGTTGAGCTAGGCAAGAAGTTACAGTTATGAGGACTAATAGCGCTAGTGCTCTTTTGACGCATCATTGTTTAGCACAGGGATAAGGTCATATAAGTCGGTATTTTGATTGTAAATTTTGCTACATGATATTTGACGGACAATTGAACGTACAGACAATCATGTTTTGAAACATCTGGTTTCAGTGTTTCCTGTAGACTTATTGCGTTCATTATCAAATCGAGTTATTGTTCTTTGTTTTTTAGTGATTTTGTAGATTAAATCCCAGATTATTGACTGTTTTGAAATTTTTCCATGCAGAAAAAAATTAAACAAGTCGGATGATCGGATCATTTGTATTGTTATTCTGACTAAAAATAAATTCCATAGAAGAAAGAAAGCAGTAAGCAGCGGTTCACGGCTTCAAATATCATGAAATAAATTTATTTTGGGTGAACTTAAGAAATCGTAGTAACGTCATTGAACTCACACAGCCCCCAAATGCCCTGGTACGGCCGAGGGTGGGATGAGTCAGCTCTCTCTCTCGAAATGTTCTGACTTGGCCACGCATGTATACCCACTGCCTTCTCAAGGCGGGGGTGTTGTTTACGAAATTGAGAGAACGTAAAACGAATGTCCGGCGCTTTAACCGGGTCGGTGAACACGGAGGGTCCATCTATGGGAGTTTGAAAACCCTCATTCCAAACCAATGGTGCTCATGGGCTCCACAATCTTGAAGGAACAAATGGCATATGAATCAATTGTTGGTGTCTGGTCACCATGGGACTGCATCTCCTGACGTTGATCCGCTGCCTTGTGGATCAGGCCTTTAAGTCAATGGCTCCATGTGTGACCCCCTAAGAAAACCATGTGCTTCAGTTTGGGCACCCGAGCAGTATCATAGGTCGCACACAAATCAAGTGACTTGTGTGGCGCTTTTTTCGGTGTAATGTTGAATGCTATAACAAATAAATGGTTCAACTCTCATTTTCGCTTCCCAGCCAACAGACGTGAAACTGTGACAACCGTCAACCATATACTAAATTCATACAATTAAGTCACACTGTAAACATAAACATGAGCAAACAACAAACCAATGAAAACACTAAACGTCCACGACGTTGTGACAAAATGATTGCCAAGGTCAACCCAGAAATCTCTGATACCTAGAAAAGAGAAGAATCATCGACTTCTTCAATTGTGATGAAATAGTGTCTTTCACAGTCTCTGTGACGCTATATGCGTAACATATTTTTATTGGGAGTGTTTGGTTTATATCTGCTAAACATGGATTATACTATTCACCAACCAATTTCCGTTGTTCATCACCGTAGAATATTGAGTGCATCGTTCGTCCGAGTCCTTACCAGATATTTTTACGATCACAGGAATGTTGTATGAATTTCGGTAACGCTTCTCATAAACAATAACGCTGACTGCTACAGTAGGGCGAACCTGGGACTTGCGGTTTAAATCTTGCATTCCTTATGTTGTTTCATATATATCCAGTCTGGTGTCTTAGTTGACAGGCGTGTTTTACACATTAATGCTTTGGGTATATTTTCAATCGTACGGTACAGTAAGCGGATCTGAACTGTTAAAATTCATTTTTATGGACAAGTTTCATGTCTTCCTATTTCGGGAAGTTTCATGACCTAATGAGTCATCTGTGGTGAATGACTGGTATGTTGATGAAAGTTTTATGTGTTCATGTCGAAAAGGTAAAAAACAAACCCAAAACCGTCATACTCTTCAGCCCTAACTTTGACAAACAGCTAGATCAGGCTCCAAGTCAACAAATTTCAACTGATGCCCCACCATCAGCAGCATTGAGATTGTGTCAGGAAAGCTAGTTAAGCTTAAGTCAACAAAGTGGCCCAGTTTAAATGACACATGCTCAAAACGCGAAGAAAAGTCCATTCCCGTCCACTACTTAACCTCTTCCGATACTCTATAGGTTCGACATAAATTCCAAAAGTGTGGAAACAGCAATCCTCTCCTCGGTTTTTAGAGGGGCACACAGATCACACCTGACAATATTAGTAGTGATCGAACTGGAGTGTTCGTTTCTGGGTATAATAGAGGGATTTACTTGGACCTATGGTATTTATCATACCCACCAACGACCTCCCAGAGAACATAAGCTGATCAGTCTTTATTTATGAGGACCAAATCGGACTGTGGAGAGTCATCAGTTGTAAGGGCGATTCATAGAAGCTCCAAAGGGACCTAGTACTATTGAAAGAATGGGCACAAAAATACGGTTCCACATTTGATTTCTGAATTTGTTTAGACGATGCTATTTCTAATTACAGAAAGCGATTGTAGTGAAAGCGCTGCAACAAAGAAACATCACTCCAAATCATTTATTAAGCTGAACCGTTACTGTGTTAGACGACGTAGAATATTTGATGAATAATAAGGGTCAACTCTTGAACATGATCGAAACTGCATAACTCAGCCATGTAGGAGTGGTCGCCACATATGTATCTGTTTTGTTTCTATAATGCATATGTAGTGACTCACCTTTATCACGAGAACACAATTGGTTTAATGAAAACAATTATTATTATAACCAATCGTACCAGTGCTTGTTTTAATGTGCTCTTTGTTTAACTGTGCTAAAAACATCCATCATACTTACTTCGATTGTGACTTCGCGCGAATCCGGCTACGCTCAGTAACCAAGCTTGTATCCTGGCACGATCTCGGTATTCTTTCGATACCACGAGATCGCCAGCAAATATATCTCGAATTGGTCTGTTAACTGCCTTCTGATATTTGGCTTCCAGGGGTTTTTATGGATATCCTGGCACGCGTTCCTTTGTAGTGGTGTTCATAGCCAATCTCGACACGACCTCACGCTACACATATATGATTCTGTTGGTAAGATTGTATTTTCTCGTGACTATTCCCTTGTAGTCCCGTCATGTGATCTGCCAATTTTATTGTTGTTTTAATCTACGTATATTTGTTGCTCTTTCTTATTTAGTTACTTCTTATTTACAATGACTCTGTTTCATCTACAACTCTAGGTGCATAACATTTTTCAAGTGTTATAAACAATTTTAACTTATTAAAACGCAAGGATTTAATAACAGAAGTCACTTTAATTTAGAATCAATTATTAGTAGGCATAAAGATATATCCCTCTCACGACTGAAATCTTTCAAATGAAAGATTAATATGAATGGTGAAAAACTCACTAAACTGAAATAAAATGGTTAGCTATGAACTCTTGGTTAGTGATTAATTGTCGAGGCTGAGATTTGACGTCATTTAGCAGTCAGTTAGTTTACATCATGGATCATAGTTACCTGAATGTCTGGACATGATTACCTGAATACAACTTGAACATATACCTTGATGATCACAAAGTTTGTAATCTAATATCATTTGATGTTCTTAATTGTCATAAATAACACTGGGTGTCTACCTGATATGATGGTTGGTTTAGAATATTTTTCTCTTTGTTATACTACGATAGTACAATAGTGAGACTTGTCACTTTATATCAAACCAAGGATTTACGACCCAGAATAGAGGACACGTGTGTAGACTAGATAATACGTTACTCAACACAATTACAAGCAGTCGCTCTCAGTGAGTCCGGAGTAGAAATAAATGAGAGGAAAATCCTATTTTTAATAGTCAGTAGGTTAAATGGCTGTTTGTCCACGCCCAGTGACCAATTATATTTTACTTTCACCACCCTAAATAGTCTTCTTTCCTTTTTGAACAAAAAAACATCTAATAGAGATAACTTTTTATAGTCCACCATTGAATGTTTATTTATGTCAGATAGATCACCTTATCTTCTTAATTAAACTGGATTTACGAAAAAGTGAAGATTCTAGATTAAATAGTTTGTAAGCAAAAATCGAATAAGTCATGATGGATTTGTAATTACTAATCTAACATGACTATCCTTCATTTGACAGCCAGTTTTGCAGCAAACAAAGTGATCAGAATGACCAATGTTAATGTAATATATTTAATTTGGTTATCATCTGTAGTAATGGCTGAGGATAATCTGTTACACCTGAGTATTGATTATATGATGTTACCATCAAATCAAAATGTAATTTAAAAAGTCAGTAATTGTTTCTAGTGAACTGACGAGTGCTCTCAGCTAGCATTAAACAAGCTCGAAAAATTTAATGAAACTACATTTACCCCAGAAAGATTTAGATCTAAAAATTTGCAGTTAAGCATACACATCAGTGGTAATAGAAGTGAAGAAGGATGATATGTTAGTTTGGGTCTAGTGATAAGAAAGTGTTTGGAAACAATCATATTGTTTCACCCAAGTTTACTACTTCTCAATAATGCGTATCTACAACGCCTTACGAGACAAAACCTAGGACTTCATGGTCTCATAGCCGGGATAATACAATTGAGAAAAGTATCCATTAATTTAGATTTCCAACCTTAGTCAGTTTGTACGATGTGGTATCGTCATCGTCTTTTGTTATCTCTGAATTATTGTTTTATTCCAAATAATTATTTGAGCTGTAGATGTTTGATGAAGAGAGAATTGAAGAAGGATTGTTCATGTTATAACTTGTCGTTTGAATGCTTATTGTCTTGACTCTTTTGATGCTACTTTTTGTATCTGGTCGTCGCCGATTGTTACGTCGGAAACGCTTATCACTTATACCCGGAACGAAGGACCTCTGCAATTCCCACGATGCGAAAGAACACAAAGACTGGTATAAATGAAAATTTAATAACCCCAAAACACGACGACAACTCTAGTAGAAAATACACTCATTTATATATTGATTGTACACCCATTTTGATTAATTATTAGAATGAAATCACATATATGAAAAATACTTAGAGTTATAATAAATCACATATTGAGCATAGTTCATGTCAACTGAATACAAGAATATCGCATATTATACAGAATAAAATATCATACGAGAAAAGAAAACAAATACTACATTGAGTAATCATTACATTGAATCGAAACGGAAGTAATCTTGGAAAAAACTCATAATGAGCAAATCAATCGAAAATTGACTTTCCTTTCCATCATATCAGTTCTCCAGACTTTTATGGTTACACCAACTAATAGAAGAACCGTATATATATATATATATATATATATATATATATATATATATACATTCCAAATGTCATTGACTGTAAATTCTATACTGTTTTGTTTTTCTTTCATGGTGTTATGAATGAAGTTATTATTGCTTTTCGTTGAATATAATCAACCTATCCACTAATGGACTTGATCTGGCATGCATACAGCTCTTGAGATCATTTATTGTCAAGTATCCCACTTACACTTTTATTTAATATATCGCTTTTGACCCTAAAGGTTGAATTCCTTATTGTGCTTATGACTTGCTTCATGGCTATCTGTTATATCGCTTGTAAACGACCTAAACAGTCTAATTATCTGATCGTATATGAGCAAATTGGGAAGAGCTATCGTCATAGTTGTGACATCGCTAGGTTAGTTTAGTTACCACGTTTATTGATCATTAATATTACCATTATTACGAATGACCAATTACTGATAAATAATTATTCTCACATTGGGACTAATCAGTATTGATTTCATGATTATTAGCCTACTGGTATTCTTTTAATCATGGTAAATTAACCATCATAGAGACTGAATAGTTAGCGTATATAAATTTTATCCTTATCGTTAGATAATACAAAGGTTAATGATCACAATCAATCAAATGAATTTGAGAACAAATTAATAGCATAGATAAGGTGTATATTCATACAATCGTAGCTATTATCAGGTTTTTTGAACATTTCTTCCATTCAGAAGAGTTTAAGATAGATGGTCTAAGAGAAAGCAAGATGGAAATTCCAGGAAATAACAGAAGTAAACAAGAGATATACATAAACACACAAAGGAAACAACTAGTTACAACTAAAACAGAACAAAGTAGGTTAACAATAAATAGGAACTGTAAAATACGGGAGAAAAAGCCAACGTAATGACAACAAAAAGGAAAAGAAAACTTAATGTTTGACTGCTAATCCTTTTTTACATGATTTCAAAGATAACAATTTGTTGATTATATTTTACACTTAAAAATAGCAAAAGTGTAATAGGACACCAACAGTCACTACTACTGCTACTACTACTATTATTATTATTGGTAATAATAATAATAGTAGTCAAAGTGAGGATAACTGACAGAAAGAAGAGTATCGTGAAAAAAAGTCAAACTAAAAAAAATAATGTAACATGAGATTAATGCAAATCTTTAGAGATGTCCCACATGTGCGTGCATATAGGTGTACACATCATAGCACTTTAAAGAAGATAAACAAACAAAGAAAAGAACGTAAGTAACGAGAACAGAAAATATAACAATTTGAGATATTTGTGTGATGCTACTAATTTGTTTTGTAAAAAAAAAGAAAAAAAAGATTGATCATTGAACGAACGAAAACAAACTGTCCACAAACAATAAAACATTATATATTGACATATACAACGAGAGAAGACATTATTTATTCCGACTAAAGAAAGATAAAATTAATGCAAACAACATATGAATAAATGTATATTATTGTAATGTTAGCAGCCAGACGAAGTGTAAGTGGAAAAGATAAACACATAGACAAACAGTCACTGATAAATAATTCTTATTTTTTTTTTACATATAGTGGGAAAGTGTATAAGTTATATGTAACAAAAACAATATCCGCCAAAAATATATGCATAAAAAGCTCAGTGTTTTTCTCGTACTCTAGATTGTAGGCAAGTTGATTGTACATTCTATTTAGACGGTGATTTGTATTCCTCATATTTCTCCCTTCCCATCCGTCTCTAAAGCTCGCCATCGCCGCTACTCCCTTTGCTTTCGTTTTAATATGCATCACTGGCAAAATAGATGAACACTTAATACAATAGAAATACAAATGATGAAGAATAAGGAATATTTTCTAAAGCAATAAGAATTAAAGTATGTCGTCAAGAGTCAAAATAATAATTTAAAAAGGAAATATTAAAAACAAAAATATTGAAAAGGAAATTTCTACAACACACAGATAAACTTTAACAGCCAATTAATTGCTCAGTACACAGTTCAAACCTGTACACGAATATTATATATATGTATGTAAAGACTGATACTTGTGCTAATAACAGAGATGATAATGCTGTACGATAGTGGTGTACATTAAAGACCAAGCAGATATGAGAAAACAAAATATCTTCTTTTTTCTTTATTTTATTCGCAACTGAAATAACAATGATGTGAACAATGACGTTTAGCCAAATGTTCATGATTCGGAGAACTATGATGATGGTTGCATTTCACGCCATTAGTTGATGTTTGACTACTGGACCCGGCATTGGCTTCTATAGAGCCGTCAGCTGAACTAATAGAAGAAATGGACCCACCAGAAACTGAAGCAGCAGTATGAATGGTACGATTACGAAGTCGTAATTCTTGTTGAACAGCCATGTGCATTTCACGAGAATCGAAATTTACAGCCTGACTATTTCTGAAAAGAATGAACAAAAAACATAATAATTAAACAATGCAAATCATTCTGTTAGGATAATTTGGATTTTTTTAAAAATGATATAACAAGATGTTTCAGTGCTAAACCATTAGACTTAACTAGAGATAATCGAAAAGCATTGCAATAAACGAATGAATTTTTAGTCAGATTAATTATCAAACAAAAGGTGATTTTTTAATCTCATATCTTCTCCAACAGAATGAAATATTACAAGAAATATAATTCAATCGAATAATAATATCATACACATAGTTCCCTTTATCATTTTGAAAAGAGCAAGAACAAAGATTCTAGCAGAATAGCATGAATTCATTTTATTTCGTAGGTTCTCGTCAAATGCTTACAACTTGTGATATTTAAAAATCATAATTACATAATGGGTCTTAGAACAAAGGAAAGAAAGACTCTGAACAGTGCAATCACCAACACATCTCTTTGATACAAGACATCAGGTAGATACCTTACAATCCTTTAGGGTGATTAGTAAGCAGCCAAACTCCAGTCTTCTGAAGTTTGCTGAAGCCATTGCCATCAGGCGTCAAAAACCTGACCTATGTATTGAAAAGGAGACGGTGGTTAATCTTTCCTTGCCCTGATGACAAATATCCCTTCACTGCACCTTATAAAAAAATTTTTTTCTTTTTTGTTTTGCATTTATTACATCATTGACTCTATTTTATTTTTTCAACTATCTTTCAAATGAATAATCTTTCAACGGAACTCTACTCACTACATTCCTTCAATGTTATTCATTATGTAATCGACTGTTTCTAACCCACTTTTGAACTGTTGTCACAATTGATGTTGTAGAATATTCTTTCACATTAGGCGGCCTGCTTGAGCATCTGTGCTACCTGTTCCTGCCATCTACACATTTCATCAAGTTATCTATTTTTGTTTGTTTTAATATAACATTATGTCTATTAATCGCATTACCTATTCTGCTGCGTTTCTGAAACGTGTACAACCTTTCGTTGTCAAAGTTACACAAAGCTCAATAAGAGACAATGCGGTTGCTAGCAATATACAATGAAAAGAATGCACATCATTCAGATGTTCATTTACTGGACTGCTAACAACTAACTGATGATCACTAAATATTTATTCCCAGGACCGACCAAGAAGAAAGAAACGGAAACTTGTTGAAATACTTTGCCCTGAGAATTCTATATTGGACCAATAATATAATATTGAATAAAGCTAATAATAATAATAATAATACTATATATTTACAATATTCAGTAAGCAATTTAAACCCATTATGTAATTATGATTTTTTTTAAATATCACAGGTTGTAAGCAGCTGACGAGAACCTACGAAATAAAATGAATTCATGCTATTCTGTTGGAATCTTTGTTCTTGCTCTTTTCGAATAATAATATTTTTTTTTATAAAAAAACATAAACAATATGGGATAATCGAGTGGATAAAATAATCAAAATGGTTCATTGTAGTAATATAACAATCCACATTGTTTAATTGTAGAACATACAGTTCCGAAACAGAAAACAATATGGACAATTTAACCAGTGACATGTTAACATATTATACAATGACGTAATTAATGTTATACTTTGTATGTTTTAAAAAAAATTTACGAAAAAGAAATTCCTAATAGACATACATGAAATAAATGATTTGTAATTGACTAATCACTAAATAGCGACTGATGTTGTGTGTTGTCTAGTTGAATACTATTGATCAAATTGTAATGAAGTCATTATAAGCAAAGATGGATAGTGGCTAGCAGTGGAATCCAGGACGCGCGTTTCGTCCTGTTTGGGACTAGTCAGCTGGATGAATTTGCATCTCAGAGTTGATGTTCACTCTGAGACTAGAACTCAGTACCGTTCGCTTCAAACGCCATTGCGTTATCCACTTAGCTACTGAGTCCTGATAGCCACTTGCTTGTGCAATGGGGTGAAGTTTAATTCACCTGGTATGGTTTTACTTGAATCTTCTCATTGATGTTTTAGGACTGAAATTGATCAGTCTCTTATTAGTTTAAATAGCTTGACATAGTGCATGATAAAAGAGTCACAGGCTATGCTAATGTATCACTTGTTATATAATAGTATTTTTTGCCTCGGATATATGTTTAAATTTCAATGGTACTATACTAGAGAATGATAATGTTTTATTTTCATTTAAATAACTGTTAAGTATCGATTTATTTGAAAGATCCATGCTGCTTTCAGTTACTTGTTGCATAGAACAAGACTGAAATGGTTCGATGAAATAAAGAAAATAACACTGTTAGATGTAAGATTTATTTATATATGGAACAGTAATTACACCATGTATTTACAAATGATTGAAATGTGTAATTATATATTGCTTTAAATGTGTGATTAATATGATATGAATCCATTGAACTAGCAGTTAATCAATGTGTTATTTCAATATGTGTATACAATTCATAAAATTAGTGAATAAAAATTCTTTAACTAAAAAATATAATTAAGTTATTAGGCTATATATTTTCCAAATCTTTGCCTGACATCATCTTTCTAAGGTGAGTTAAAACATTTAAAACCGCTATAAAGTTCAATCTAATCTAAAATCAAGTTTTCATTAAGGCTTCACAACTAATAAGAATTACATGCAACTTATCAATCAAGTTTGAGTCCATGTATATTTGTTTCCATGTTATGGTTAGAAAAAACCTTTTTTATCTTACGTTTAATCATGAACGTAATATACTATGTTGTAACAGAGTAATTATTCAAGTTCAAACTTTTGGAACTGTCGATATACATTTCGTTATTCCTAAATTAGTATTCCTACTTCGTTTCATACATTTGGTTCCCTTAATGAATTTGAGTAAAATCAAAATAATAATTGAGACAGGATAATATGAATTCATTATATTTCGTGGTTTTTGATCAGCCACTTGCAACCATTAATATGCATTAATACGTAACATTGAAGTATGATATAATGTGACATAATTGGCACTGATGATGGAAAGATTTAAAAATAATAAGGTTTATAAATAATGATTATATATATATATATATATATATATATATATATATATATATATATATATATATATATATATATATATATATATATATATATATATCCTTCAACATTATCACCAAACAAAAATCACAATATCTATCCGGTTTGCCGAAGCAGAAGCAATACAGACACTCCAACATGATTTATGTGTCTAGAAAGAGACAGTAATCAACTTATCACTAACTTGGTAAATTATTATTTATGTTAGTCATTATTGTTATTTTATTTGTGCTTATTTTGTTATGTAGTCTTCGACAAACTAATTCTTATTTTATGTACACTGAAATCATCCTTTCATGCATCGATTTTCATTCACTTAATTCTTCAAGCTTATGCAAACTCTTCAAATCTTTTTCAACTACTATGTAACTCGTCTTGTCATTTTCTAATTCTAGACAATTTCCAACTCATAACTGTCATTTATATTTATTTTCAAGTGATTTGAATCTTATTTTAATTCTCAATAACTTCTATAATTATCACATAATCTGTCTTATTTGTTTCCGGATATCATTTAATTACTGAATTCATATTATTGTTGTTTTGATCTTTCTTTTCTATCACTCTTCACTTGCCTATACACAAACTATTAGTTACACCTAAAGTTGTTGATCTATGTTTATAAGAGAAAAGTATATTCGGATTAGTGTAATCTAACCTAGTGACTCAATTAAGGAACACATAAAGCAGATTCAAGGATACAAACATTATTTACAACAAAATTTTATTTCCTAGATTCATAACCATGATAATAATCGCCTTATCCCATGTCATATATTTTGCTTGTAGTAAAGAAATCTCACGTTGGTTGGAGGCAATAAGCACTTAATTCCAGACATTTTTTGCAGATTTATTTTTTAAAAAAACCCGATTAGCCTCCTGTAGAAGTGAGATCTCGTTTTGTTGTGCGATCGCTTTAGTCTGACGTCGATACAGAAGCTTCATATGAGTTTATCCAAAACAGGGACTTGATTGGGAGAAATTTTATTGACTAACTGAATCAAGAATATAAGTACAACCGATGGATAAAGATATATCTTTCTCCTTCAAAAAATAAAGCCATACCAATGGAATATGCCCTAGAAAGTAAAGCTAAATCCTGGACAATAGGGTGGGTCAGTAAGTAACTCCAATTTATCACTTGGTTTATGTCTGATTTGCATGGTGTAATAGAAATTTACACTAGTCAATCACTGAATGATAACCAAATTAAGTGATTCAAACAAATAATACCATATCAAGGCACTAAGATTTGTGGACATATTCGATAAAATTCGATCAAAACTGTGGACTAGACAAATACAATAATTACTACTAGTTCAATGTGTTAAGAATTTCCAGAAAAAAAAGCTGTGCCGAAACAAACCCTGGTATATAGAAATTTTCACCAAATATATACCTAATGTATTAATTCTAGTATGATTTATCAACTACTACAAGAGCTCAGAACGAAGTTAGCTTTGTGACGGCCTGTAACCTTTCTATGGATGCGTATGAGTACATCTTATGACCAACATATGTAACTAGTTAGTTAAAATACAACGATTATAAGAAGAAATCATCGTAATGTTTGCACAGTTGGTAAATGGGATGCCAAGAAGTTTGAACAGGCTCTCATTCAGTCAATGTATCTCAAACACATAAAAAAGAGTCTGCATATAAACTAATGAGTGCTTAAGATAAAAAGACCGGGTACTTGAAATACAGATAATAAAAGCCTTCATGCTGTGTTCTCTTATTTAGACTTAAGACTGGGGGACAGAGGAATGAGTTTTTCGGCGGATCAATAGGCGTCAAGAATATTTGGGTCACACCTTAAAGTTAATCTTGGCAGTTGACGCGCATAACTAGTCGAAGCTTAGGACCCTAATCGATAGACGAAATAGCACATGCGGTCTAGACAGATATAACCTGGATTCTGGTCGGTAAATTATTTTTATAGTTATCAAATAATTTAAAGTCTTAACAAAAATAGAACACGATTACTATTAATTGAGCTGGTTTAAGTGAAGATTTTCTGTTATACGAAGCTAAAATCAGCTGGACAAAACAGTTATCCTGTGTTTCCTGTTTTATAGGCGTCCTTCAGTTGATGTTACCCTGTGAATTCCATATGATAAGGTAAATAATTGAAAACAATGATTTATAGATTAGAAAATGAACTAAAAAAGCTCATAAATGTCTGAGTTATGTACGATTCATACTACAAAAAATACGAGAAGTGATTTTGCGGTTAAAGTACAAGACTGAAATATTTACTTGCAGAGTTTACGACCATACTATCTAATTAGCTTTCGGTAAATGAACAATAGATCTGTACGGCTTCATCTACAATATATGCTTCTAAAGTGAATATACAATTCTTTAGATAATAACGGGGTTAGACTGAATTATGAAAAAAATGAAGTGGGGAAAACAAAGTGTATCCAACATTTCTACACCAATCTAATAACTCAATACCTTTAATACAGACTTCTCAACGTAAAAACGTTAAAAATAATCAATTCAATGTGCATTCAGTGCACATGATAGCAATACTATTGTAACATCCTCCTATGAGTAATTCCATCTAAGCACACCGTAGATGGAATATTCTGACGTTACATCTCTAAAAAATATTTGTGACGACAAGATGATGGTGAAAAAAGTTTGAGTCATTGAACTGCATCTTTAAATTATTATTATTATTATTATTATTATCGTGCAAAATTACCTTTCCATGATTTCACGTAATAAAGAATCCACTTCGGGGTTATGGGTCATTCTTACTGGAGGTAGGACAACTCTACGGTTATAACGTCGGGTAGGAATAGTTGTTGTTGTTGTTAATGATGTCGTGGCTACATTGGTATTTGCAATCGAATTATTTTGTCCCGATGCAACATAAGACGTTTGTTGAGTATTATTAGAGTTCTGAAAATTTCCAGCATTACCATTTATAAATATAGATGCACCCTTTTCATCTTCGTTAATATTATTGTTACCGCATGTGCCATTACTATTTATATTGATTTGGCCAGTTTGTGGTAATTGAGGATATCTAAATTCATTAGCATGTCGAGATTGGTGATGACAGTAGGATCGTTGAGTGGAACAATTGTAATCTATTGAACAATTACTTATTTCAACAGCTTTATTATCATGACATGTACAGTTTAAATAATTGTGTTGTTTTTTATTGTGGAATGTATTAGCTAAACATATGTGGATTTGTATGCACATCCAAGTATGTGTTATGGATATAAAAGACAAAAAAAAACAAATGAAAGGTTGCAGAAAACAAATATACAATACAAAAGTGAGTATTCTCTGTAGTAAAAAGTCGCATATATAATTACAGTTGTTATTTGATGGAATTAAGGAGTGCAGAATAATTAGGATACTACAATGGTACCGAATGAAATGAATAGTTAGATAAACTGATAAAGTTTGGGTACTTGAATCCATTTTGAGTTGATCGAGTGAAACATTTTGAAGTATTAACGTAAAAGCTAAAACTAATAAGAAATGAAGAGGAGATACCACTCTTAATGCTACTTAGTAAGTCTTCTACTTCAACACGAACACACAGACTTCCTATCCTCTTCCTAATCTCCAGAAGTTTTTCACTCTTGAACAGAAAGGTGGAAACATTAATTATAAAACCGTAACTTAAGCAATCAGAATAAGGGAAACATTGATAAATCCTAAAACACAGGAAGCAAGACTATGTAACAAATAAAAAGTATATATATACATATATATTTGGGTGAACAGATATGTAGATGGATGCATTGAGGAAACCGTGAAGGTAAACCATTAGTAGAGTTGGCAGGTGGGAAAGTAGTAATGTGGTGACGCTATTCACAGGCCAACCTTCCAGGTAAGCAATATGCCCAATTATGTTGCAAATTGTAGGGGATTACGTTAAATTGAAAGCTCACATCATGTTCCAAATATCGAACAGACGTGGATTTGAATGCAACATTAAGTAATAAAGGGTAGAACATTGTTTCAATAAACTCAGAAGAATTCAATGACAGAGACAACAACACATGAAGATGCACACATGGTAACTGACTTGCTCAACCGCCAAGTGAACCTGCTGATGGAAGAGCTTGGATTTTTGTCACTGCAATGTGATGTTTGATTCGATCTGTGGCTGGAACCGGCAATCACGATTTCACAGATAAAAGTGTCACATGTGCGGTTCAATAACTGAAGTATAATGATATCATTGTTCAGGACAAGAGGAAATGTGAAGAGATTGAGTGAAGGCCCATTTTAAGGTCAAGCAAAATTTGATTTAAATTTTGCTTTCTCAATTTGTTACAAATTCCATCAATAAATTTCTGTTAATCGCATTCCATATACATGCTGTATTTTGAATGACAGTCCTGACGTCATTGTTTTTAACGTTAATTATGACTGAACTAGACTAACAGTTTCATCCGATGCGTTTCGTATTATTTCGGTAAGAAATTCCCTAGGCTGTGTTCTTCACGCATGATAGCATAAGAAAACGTTTAACCCCCATAATTAAGAGATCTTTATTATCTGCATAAAAGCTAATTCGTATTAGTATTCATCGATAAGCAATAGATCATTATGTTAACTGTGAAGTAAATGAAATAATCATTGTACTCTATCCGTGCCAATGAACTCCTTTCCTATGTAATACAATTCAGTCAATACTGATGAAAATGTTTGACCTTTAAGTGTTTAATAAAACTTAACACAAATAAGTTCCAGCTATCATTAACGTTGCATTATTTTACTGTAAGTTGAAAAGTATGTACTAAAATCAGCTCACCGTTACAATAAAATTATTACTATAGGGAAGATCAATTTAACTAACTATTAATTGTTTATTAACAGTCTAATGAACACTGATCTGTTTAATAATAGTACCTGTAAACTTCAATAAAAATGTTTGACTATTTTTCAAATTGTTCAGCTGGAAAATAATAAGACTTTATTTATTATATAGAAATTCAATGTTGATATAGATATAAATGACCATATTCGCATTAAGGAGTGTGATTGATCAGAAAATTAATTATGTCAGAAATAAGCCTGTAAAATGGTTATTATTGTAACATTTAGCTGTTTCGGTTTTAATATTACAACTAGATACATAGGATTCATTAGTATCCTTCTAATATACTTAACCAATAAATCCAGACGTGAAGTACACTATATATTACTAATATGTTGGATAAGTTACTTTAAGATCAACTAGATGGCGTACAGTTAATAGTAATGATTTTGCCAACTTCAATTCTTTATATTTCAAATATTAATCATATTTGCTTTGTCATTTAGAAATTAAATTCAAAAATTAAGATAGTGATTTTGTTTTACTGCATATTTGCTATTGACATTACGTAAAAAAAACAAAACAATTACCATGCAATTCCCAACCACAATAACTGATTTATATTATTGTATACATAGAGAAATTATCTATTCACAGACACAAGTATAACAGAGCAGTTGAATAGAATTGATGTCTATTTTTTTCAGAAGTTAAAATGTTATAATAAATGATGATAGAACCGTCTGACGGAATTTTTTCATCAAAATAAAATTCAATAAAACCACTTTATGCTACTTCGGAGGGGGGGTCAGGAATTACAATCACCGTGCAATAATCATCAACACACATTAATAAAAGTGCATATTAATAAAGAAGAGTGTTGAAAGGCAGAATAGCGTTATTAATAGTGTGAAATAAATTTGAATCGCCAATTGTTCCTCTTCCCATGCGGGATCATGGATCGCACTGTTGAGGAGTCTTACAGTAGGAAAAAACGGCCGTCTAGTGCTTCCAGGTTTTCAATGATGGTCTAACATCAATTGATTCATGATCTCAATCAAGAATCAAAAAGGTAGTTTTCTAAACGTCTAATGAAGTCTACTTCTGACAAATACTGTAGGTCTTCGAATTTAGCAACAAATTGTTATTCGTATTACCCTAACCATGTTATCTCATATGTCTATTTCGAACATTCAGTCAGCTACAAAGTAAGTTGGCAAAGGTCAAACGAGCTCTTGAATCTGTGTAGAGATTTCGTCAAACACAAACCCACTAGGACTGATCACACTCTCAAAATGAGTGAAGTTATCGACGCGCTCGGCTACTTCTCCCCCTTATACGTAGTTCAAGTATTGACGCAGCCCAGTCCTGAAGCAACAATTTGCATTTAGAGGGGGAGAAACACATCCAAAACATATTGGCATTGTCGCTCATACATAAATACATAAATCAAAGCATAACTTACATTTCATTCCGGGATAATTAACACTACTGGTAAGTGATAGGTCTGAAGAATTCGACCCGAACCCGCTTGTGCTTCCACTGCAGCAACTTAGGCTACCTCCACCACAGGCGCAACAACTAGAACAACTTGAAGCCGATGTTGCAGTTTCGGAGCAACATGTTTGTTGGTTAATATCATAACTATTATTAGGATCACTTTCACTGGAATTTGATGATGTAGTCATTTTTACGTTTTCTGAATGAAGCACTAAGTTACTACTACTATGACGATGATGACTATTACACGATGGTAATGAAGTAGATAGGACACCAGCAGTATTTTGAGCAAAAGCGGCAGCAGCACCTATGAAATGATGAAACATAAACACATACGAGTAGACAAAGAGAATAAACAGTATTGATGTAATTAAGAAAAATAATATATTTTTAATATTCCAATGTATAGAAAAATGAGATTTCCTGATGTTTCGTGATTCAGTGTAGACCACTTCTTCAGAGAATAAATAAACAAATTACATTGGCCCAAGTTTAAATAGCACAAAGGAACAATGCAAAAAGTATTTAGTGCGAACAGTCAAAAAACTGGTCTGACCGAGTCAATGTCATGCCAATCCAGTCAATGTGATTTGTGTGTGTTCTGGTGGATGAAAATTGACATTTTTAATGTGAAAGGATCGAGTTGAATATGTACATATGATAATAGTGCAAGATATGAGTAGAACCAGACATAGTATCTCAGATAGATAGACTAAGTCAGATGGATAATAAGGCTTTCTTTTATATAAAGGGTAGTGGGATTTAGCGATATATGGAAAACTATAACTTCACGCCCTTCCTTGTAGACGCAATTCTGTGCTGACATAAACGGGATCATATCCTTTATATGAACTAAGGCATTTTGAAGGGTGCTGGTTGTTCTAATGCTGTTATTTTAAGACTCTTTAGAGTTATTTGATGTGTCAATGCAGTATGGTAAAACTGCAGTGCCAATTCATGTTATTTCATTCGAACTATTATCTAAAAGTTTTATCGGATTTTTTGTAAATTTCATAAGAAAATTGTTAAGTTGTAAGATCTCAATTAAATCCTTTTGTTATTTTTGTTTATCCTCTCCAGATGTAATAATCTTGCTTGCTCGTTTAGAAAGATTTCTGTACTGAATGGATATGCCGAATCGAATTTGACATAGAGATCCGAATGTACTGATTTTCGGTAGTGCTATAGATGTTGGATCCTCAAAAAACACTTGGTAAACGTCTCATTTTTGAAAATTCGAATTTCTCATTTTCGCGCCAGAAGCGACCACTCTTAACTTCAGTTTGTATTTCCCACTTAGGAGGATCCTAAATGTCATTGGTTCATTATCTCTTTCAGTACACTTTTCGTGACGTTTCGCAAGGACATTTTTGTACTGTATATATACTCATGAGTTGTGTGCTTGTCCGCTCATGGTTTCGGACTGGTTGTAGAATATACTTTTTCATCGACTGAATCTGGTTTTCTCCCTCTAGTTAGCAAGGGTGAGGCGCAGTGGAAGAGTTTAGTTCGTCCTGTTGTTGTGTTGCTGGCCTATCAAAGAAACCACTAAAAAAAGCAATGCTTGTCATAACCATGAGCGTATTGGTGAGTTTTTCTACAAAGAGACAATGAACTGTGGAGTGAGACAGTAACTAATCAATTATATTTGAAGACTGAGTTATGTAGTTAAGTGAATGAAGTTGAAAATGAAGGCCATTAGGTAGTAATCTAATAATATCGTTATCATGAGATAGATTAAGTGTGTGACCATGAATGCGGATTGTTAAAGAATCTCAAACTCAAATGAATGGGCTTCCTAAGTTCATTAAAACTTTAGTCTAATGTATATTATTGCTCCTGCTAACATAAACATGAGAAACACATAACTTCTTATCAATGCAATTATTTAACAAATGCTACACTGATAAGATTAATTTTCATAGAAGCTAAAAGACTAATTGTTGCTGTGAAAAATATTTATTACAATTTAACGGAAAATATTACTATTAAACATAATTAGTCTACTAGGATAGAAGTTTCCTGATATATTTAGTAGTACAATTAGAAAATATGGACAGCAGATAAGTGATATAGAAAATGAAGATTTTTTGACCATTCTTTTATCATAAAAAGTAGATGGGTTAATTAAAGTCAAAATAAAATGTGGGACCAATATGTACCAGGTCAAGCTGTTACACTACAAAAGCAGGGATCAGTTGAACAGGCATTTCAGTTGACTCAACTCAGGTCACTCTCATATTTTATGTATGATGAGCATTTGTAGACAATCAGTACCTATCTATCTTTTAATCTTACCTGATAGTGTTGTTAGAATGCTGCCTTTTTAAAGACTATCAGATAGTGTACTTAATAGTCTATATAACAATAAAATGAATGCACAAACTTGTAGTTAATAGTTTAATTGATTCAAGTATAGTATAAAGTTATTTTAATCAACTCTTGAGTCGATAAAGAAAATAACAACCTTTACATAAGATCTACATGTCAGTTGAGTATTCAATGAGCTAAAGAACGTAAACAGTACAAATGTTTCGTTTATCAAACAAAGATCTAAACACGGCTAATAAATCGTTTTGTATATACGTATGCAATAAAGAATATACCGATGTGTTACGTTTATCATGAATAAAAACAAATGAGTTGTAAAAAGTTGGTTAAAAGAAATAAAGTGAAATAGCGATTGACCATATATATTGTTTGTTTGTTATTTCCAAGTAATATGGTTACAAATCTATCAACCGACAGATATTTATTGACTAACAGTTCTCTCGTCTTTCTTCATCAATGATTTTAACTAAAAGTAAATATTCATTAATAATAATAATAATAATAATAATAATAATAATAATAATAATATAACTAATTACATAACAGTTATTACTTATTTTCAAGCTAAACTAATCCACTTCAGTTCAAATATAGAAAGTTTGCATAAGGATGATTATATTGTCAATCTTTACTAAGTTATCAGTAATATATTTCAGTAAAGTGCAAATGAGTTTATAATCACACAACTATCAACAATGAAAGGCTTGGTACACATCTACATCACCTCGAATTGCCGTACTCTAAGGTCAAAAATCGAAGAAATTAAAACAATACTGAACTAATAGAAGAAAGTTAAACATGGGGAATATGATTACCAACTGATGAACAGAATCGATGAATAAACTGTATGAAGCAATATTAACAATTAAGATTTTAAAGAGAATGAAGCATGAAAAAATTTGCATTGTTACTATAGTGAACGAAGAGTTGGTGGGGATAATCTATTTATTGTTTAATGGCAAATCACACAGTGGCTTAATAAAATATGAAAATTATACACTAAATATATCATTTGCACATCTTCTTCGAATTGTATTTTAAAGACTTCAGTGTTCCTTCATTTGTGTTGTTATTTTGATTGCCTTCAGTTTTCTCTCATCTCTTTATTTTCCTCTAATGTGAGTAAGAATTCTAATTCATATGCCTGATACATACTACTTATACCTGTCTGTGTAAGTAGCACATAGCATACTATGACCTATTTAAACCATTTGAATTGAAACAGATTCGGACTAGCTTCTTGACTTCAACCGAGAGGATTACTTCTTTCAAAGCAGCTTACTTCAACAGTATATTATCTCGTTGACTGATATCATATCCAAATGCAAACGAACTTGATCTCTATCCAACTTCTATATTTAATAGCTTAACGCGTCAAAAAGGCTAGCAGATAAAACTTGACTAACTGAATGGTATAGATATCTTAAAAATGATCAAGTTCCTTATCATTTATTGAAATAATCGATATTATTATATTGAAAAGATGTAAGAAATAGAAAAAAAAATATTATTAATCTTAATTAAAAAAAAATATTATCAGAATACACAATTGAAATTATGGCCTCATTAATAAAGATGGTTAATCCAATAAAAATTAGATCAGATTACAAATATTACCATGGGAAATAAAACAGTACAACTATTAATTTTACCTCTAAAAATATATAAAACAACATTATTTTATTACTTAGTCAAAATTATTTTTAAAAAAAACAAAACAAAACAAACATGTATAAAATGTTTACTGAAATATAAAAAAAAAAACATATTTGACATACATTAAATCAATATTAGATAACATGATTAACTCTTTTAATATACTAGCATAATCATCCTAAAATGAAGCTTGTCTATGGTTAGGTCTTATCAACAGTGTTGTGCGTTTTACATCGTCAAAACAGATTGAACCTCAAACCTTGAAATTTTGAAACGAGGCTTTAAACCAATGAATTGTATCTAATGATTCAAATTTCTTAATTCAATCAATTTATGATATAGCGCTACATTTCTGGTTGCTATCAGTGGGTAACAGTTTTACACACTATATAAGTGAGATTCATTAGTCAGCATTTCAGGGAAGTGTGGTGTGTCGATATGTTTTCGCCCTGATTTGACAAATTATTGGTTTAGCACAGAGATGGGGTAATAGAAGTCGATATTCTGATTAAGTTGTATCAAATACGAGTGAGAGAAGCGGTGACCACCAGCACTTCATTAAGAGAGCTTATGCCTGTGTATGCCACGATGCTCATGAGCGCAAGCTTATATACCTCTGGTGTGCTTATAACGTATAAGACGTAGCAAATACGAGTTAACAGAATAGTGAAGTCAATCCTCCCAAATCGACAACTTTGCCTATCTGTATGCCATGGGATACATAGGTGAAAACCTATGTATTATTAGTATGCATGTAATATATACTAACCTCAGACGACGCCTGCGCATCAAGACCCAGGGGGTTTCTAACTACTTCCCCACAAAAAGTCCACGTAGTAGGCTTGTGTACCTCGAAAATGACAGTTACCTTGCCAACAAAACAGTAGGCTTCCCCCAATGAGGCTTGAACACCACTACACTAAATTCCAGTGAATACAAAATTTATACTGAATCTGAACTGATTAGTAGTAATATGCCATACCTGCTCAGTCCTTTGTGTTGATCGAAATCAATCAATCAAACTAAGACATGATTACTGGTGTAAATGACTAAAAATTAAATTCACTATACTCTGAAGTTAAGTGACTGCAAACAATCGGACCTAGGTACCACGATAGTCGGCATTTAGCAGCAAGGCTGGCCTGTAATCTTGAGGAAACTTATACTACTCGTTGGATTCCAATTTTCTTCGACGCATTAGCTATTTTGAGTATGATATCAGTCACTATTCTGGGAGTAATCAGTGTAAATATTTAACTTTTATTACAGGATGCCTGTTTGGATCCCCTCAAAATTGCAGATAAGCTTTTACGACAAGTGCCAATACAGACACGAAACCTAAATACAGAATTTCAACTTATTTGATAAATGGTTTAATATCCATTGATCAAAATTTTCAAAAAGTAGTTCAGCTTGATAGTCTTCTCTTATTGCTTCTTCAAATGATGTCAATTCATGGTGAAAAATCTTTTAAACAGAAGAAATTATTCTAACCCATTAAAACAATATAAAATCTTTACACTTCTCCGCAAGTAATGTAGCTTTAAAAGACGACGTGATGAGAATCGATTGCTGACGGCTATAATCCTAGTAATATAATAACAAAAATCTATTTAAGTTGTTTTAATTCTTAACTAGTTTTAAAAATTTCTCGCTTGAAATATTTACTTCTTATTTGTATCAACAGTGGAGCAGTAGGATCGTTTACACTAGTACTTAGCTACTAACTCAGATTTTTATCTTCTTATTGTTGATAAAATTGAGTTACTCCAATAAAGTAATATGACTTTATCTAAAATTGACGATTTCCAACCCAACCATAGAAAGAATTAGGTATTTTAAGGATCACTCATAAACAATGTAAAATCTGGCATAAAATTACATCAACTGAGATCGCCATATTTCAAGATCAGTGTATTAAGACACGAGTTACAATGTGCAAAAGTGGAATATATATCATTCGAAAAAAAAGAACGAAAGTGACGACAAAAATAAATACACCTTCAGAGGAGTACTTTTAAATTGTTACTGAAGATCACCTCCCACCCCACAGATGACGAATATATAACTTTTGTATCAAGAAAACGTTTTAACTGCTTAATGCAGTAAAAACCCATTACGTACAAAAAATAAAAATAAACTTACTGGCTGCTTCTAATTGCCTAGCAGCAGCTGCACGAGTTCGTGTAGCACCTTGTGGATGAGATAATTTCGATAAATATTCTTTCTGATCCAAAATTGTACAAGAACAACATACATGTTCTAAAGTGTCATTATTATTATTATTATTATTATTATTATGATTTAATGATCGATTATAACAGTGGGAATTACTATTACGATTATTGTTGCTATTGTTATGCGAAGAACACCTTAATCCATTTGATAATGCCTGAGAGTGTTGTGCACTTGATCGTGTCGTACCTCCCATATAAGATTGCTGGGAAAACATATTCGACTGAACACGAATACAACTAGGTGATGTATGCAAATAATGCTCCGGTTTTGGATTTGTTTGTGTGTAATGAAGATTGCCACGTGAGCCGGAACTGCTATTCAAACAATGATGACCGTTTCCACAAGACGAACGTGTAGTAGGAGTATGGGTAGTGGTAGTAATCGAAGCAGATTTTACAGATTTCTGCTCTTTACTTACAGATGAAGCGATAGCAGCAGCCGCTTGTTGTTTGGCTTCCCGACGACGAGCTCGTTTAGTAATCTCTTTCATATGTTTCGGTCCAGGACCTTTCTTACTGTCAAGAACCTGAAATAGTAACAAAATTACATCATGGCACTTACTAATTACAACAGAAAGGACTGTTAAAGAACTTTTTTATCTAATAAAAAAACGGTATAAGTGTGAATAAATACCAACTAAAACCTATCGATAAGCATCCATTATTGCTACTATCGAGTAAACAAAAAATAATTCTCTTCCCGAATCTTTCATGACAACTATATTCGAACTGACATCCCAACGAGAACAAGAATACGGAAATGTAAGTGGATTCAGCTGATAATGCATTAATAATAAGAAATTATAATCTAAACTACATGGTTACTTATTTATAGTATCATAATTGTCAATATATGATATATTTTTATACAATGAATATGAGTTCTAGTCCGGCAAGGCAAAATAAAATACAAAAGTGAATCAAATGATAATTTATTGTCTGTTCCAATGGTCTTACAGGTGATTACATTGTGATTAAAATTAAACTAACCAGGGATTTTCAAAGAAAACTAGTAATATAAATGTATATTTTATTTTGTAATGTATAAATAATTTTGTTACCTTTAATTCAAGACTTTTTAAAAAGCAAATAAACACTTAACCATTATTAGAAATATAATATAAATTATCCATATAGAAATGTATAGAAAGAAGAGTAAAGCATTATATGCATACACAGATACATTTACATGAAATATTTTAACTCATGAACAGCTAGTACTCTATCACCTACGGAGAGACAGGTTTAAAAGATCTTTTTATTAATACACGAACAGATGTTTATGCTAATTTATTATTAAACCTATATCAACCTGAGTTTGTATGCTTTCTTCTTATTTATAAGCGTAAGCAATAACAATAGAAGTCACTCGATTTTATATTAACTCAGTGCCGAACTACTGTGAAACTATACGTCTAAATATAGACAAAAATCCCCATAAATTTCTAATAATAATAATGATAATATAAATACCATATCCAGTTCATATAGGAGTGCCTATCTGAACTCAAACAGTTTTGAAGGGAAGGTATTGTGTTTGAACCTCATTGTGAGCATCAATACTTAGATGCACGTACATTTAGTTGGCGTGTCCCAGATAATATAAAATGCCTGTCCTAATTTCTATTGCCAGCTACAATTTATCTATCCTTATCCTCATAAAATAAGCTGAAAGGGTTGGTGATGTGATGTAACATTCTCAACCATAATACGATACTGCACAAACGGATATGCAGGTAACTGAATATTCGCGAGATTTATCTCAGGAACCTCTGAAAAATTTATTGAAGTTCAAAGTCTGATTAAGAAATAAACTGTAAAAAACTATGGACAAAAGAATTATTACTAACAGAGAGTAATTACAAAAGAGATTGACTGAAATATCATATTAAAACAAAAAAAAAGCCAAAAATATAATGCTACAGGAAGAATAGACTTAACAATTATAGGAGAAATCGTTATTATCAACATTATTATATATGATTTTATTGAAATAAGTAAAGGAGATGTGAACTAAACACAACTAAACCTAAAAATAGGTGACAATAAGTGAGTTAAATTTACGTCTAACAATACAACAAATAAAGAACATACTACTTCTAAAATTGGAAGAAATAGATGACATATGCGAGTAACATTTTACAGAAAAATAAGCAATATACTAACCTGTACAAAGAAGTTCGGTTGTCTACCCCGTTGAAGCCAACGTTTAACACAAAGAACGCATGCATTGCATAAATCTCCTGAACGTGTAGTCCCCTGTGGACCAAAACATGCACCAAAATGCTCAGCATATCGTTGACTAGAGGTAAAACGAGAGGATGATGACTTTGTTCCACATATACAACAGCCTAACTGACTACGAAAGTGTGCACGACCAGAACCTCCACCACTACTGCCACCACCTCCAGTCCCACTACCGCTCATTTCATAAAAGTTAATATCAAAGCCTGAAATAAAGAAGCAATGTTGGTAGTTGTGAATGATACAAACGATAGAGGTGAACTAATTAATAATACGTAAAAATCATCCTAGCTGTGTACGTGAGGATTTTCTTTGATAACACTAGGGATGGTATTGAGCAGAAAAGAATAAGACAACTACAATGATTAGGTGAATAGATTGGATATTTAACTACAATAATATCAGTTTAATCACGGATGCTTACATAAAGCTGGAATTTTCGCTTATGAAATAACACAATTTTCACATGCTCGGATGGTGTCAACATAATTATTTATTAACTAGTCATTCACATATACGTATAAACAATACGAAGAAAAATATAACCGCTAATAAGAAGACATACAAAAGGATGCTGACTAGTGACTGTAAAGCAATGTGAATTAAAATTACATAAAACAATAACTATATCAATGATAGAAATTAGTGGTAGGTGGTATTCATTAACGAATTGAATACAATCGAAATACGACTGAAAACTAAAAGGCATACTATTAAGTAATACGGTGTTACGACTTACTGGAGTTCCTTAGATATCAATGAACGGAAATCCCCCCATAATACAGCCGAAAGTGGGGAGAGTCCGCTCCCCTTCTCGAAATGATCTCATATGGCCACGTATATATAACCACCGACAGGGAAATAGCGGGGTGTTATTTACTAAATTAAGAGGATGAAACGCGAATTTCCAGAGCTTGAACCGTGCTGAAGGGTACGAAGGGAGTTGGGAAACATTGATTCTAAACCAATGGCCCACATGGACTCCAGGATTCTGAGGCAACAGATGCCTTATGGACCTATTCTTGGCCATCAGCTACCATGGGACCGCACCTCCTAACGTTGCTCCATTGCCTTCTGGACTAGACCTCTAGATCAAAGGTTTGTGGAGTAGCCCTCTAAGAGAACAATCTGCTGGGCACCTATGCAGTATCCTAGCCCTCACACAAATCAGATGACAACTACAACTGGAATTTATTTTCGCTTCATTCTCATTCCCACAAATTCCATTAACAATTATTCGATGACATTCATCTTGATTTTACATAGCGTCACCTGTCTATTCTTTTCTATTTACATTTTGTATAAGTTATTGCTCTTCAACTCATACAGAGGCTTATCTATGGTGGAAATTCCATCCTACCTAAACGATCTCAAGTCACTTGAATGGTCAAAAGTTGAATGACACCACCGAACACGAATCCTGAACTAGCCTTTCTGAAATCATGCGTGCCATTCAAACTGACCTGCCCCAACGTTTGCACAATATTGCAGAAATTATGCAAAACTTGCGTAAGGATCAAGAAACCTGGTGGTAGTGTAGTATTGTTTTCCCCACCTAGGTTTTCGTTCATTACAGTAGGAGCGTGCTAACGACTTGGAAGCAGCAGCCACATTTGATAACTGGTGGCTGCTCTTTCAACTCATTCAGGTCACTGCCTACAAGAAATCTACTTTGAGTGAAACAATCTGTGAAACTGATGAGACACCGATCAATAACAATCAACGACATCCTAGAAAATGGGCAGAGTTCCTCGACGAACAACTCATCTGATCTCCTGCCCTAACAAAATCAGTCGAACGGTCCTATCCTTTCTGGCCAGTGTTGACTGATACACCTGGCGAGACCAAAGTCCGTGGGGAACTCCAACTCCTGAGACGCCACAAAACATCAGATCAAACGATTCCCATCCAACTCTTTCTAAGAAAGATGGAGACCTCATGGTTACGGAACTGATCAAGTCGTCCAAAAATGTTTGGCAAATAGACTGTTCAAATATCGTGGAACGAGGCAAGAGTCGTTCATATCTTTGAAGAGGACAAACGTCACCTACACAACAACTGTCGGAAAACAATTCTAAATCCTATTCCATCCTATGTATTGGCTCCCCTTATAGTTCACAGATCGTCCAAGACCCATGAAACATTGACTTGCAAGGAGTAGTCTGGAGTTCATTCTGGTCGTGGATTCATTGGTTATACATACATCCCCTACCAAATGTTAAAGCACAGCTATGCTGATTACAGGCCAACAACCATTTTGTTTTTTGATACCAGTCTCTCCACTGACTCGTTTAACAGAACAGCACTCTGGAATTGTCTGTTAAAGAAGGCTGTACATGAGAAGTTGATTAGCATGTTGAACGCTATACGAACAAACACCTCAGCCAGAGTGGGAGCATGCGACCACTTCTTCTGTTCAAGCAGTTACATTAAGGAGGGTTGCTCAATCTCTTTATTCATCCTCAACTTCATTATCGATGACATTCTGGAAACATCTCTAGTGAAGATAAGTAATGATGGTGTGGAACTATTTCCTAGAGAAAGAATTTCCGATCTTCAACCATGATGATATTGTCTTACTGTGCGAAGATATTTAAGCCATCCAATCAGCACTTAATCAGGTGGCGATCAGTGTTCGTAGGTATGGCATGTGCTTTGCGTTTTCTAAGTGCAAGTACTTTCGCAAGATAGACAGCCGCCTGTGTCTGCACTCAGTCCTATTGATAAATAATTAGAAGTAATCAGAAAGTTCGTGTAACTGATTAGTTGTGCGAGTGCTAGTGGTGGCGTGACTGGTGAGATCATTCTACATATAATCACAACACCATGTTATTAATGCAGAGGTTTGGCAACGTATGTTCGGGCAAAATGACTTCAATTGGCTTCACCATCCTGAAACATCGACCACGATGGCTCGGACATTTGATACGAGTATCCAAACTGTGCTCTATTTCTGGGACGTTTGGACCGATTGAAAAAAGTGGAGAAGCGGTTGGTTTATGTGGCATGGTCCTGAGGTATGAAATAGATCTGTACAGGATTGACATCTCTCAGTCCATCACAACCTCCTGGTTGGGGTCTGAGAGATGGTGTAACACAGTGGGTTAAGACGTTATCAGATATGACTCACAATATGAGCCAGTAGCGGTTCTGAGGTAATTCTCTTCTACTCTTTCACAAAACAATGAAAGTTGCGTCACCTGGAAGGATTGTTATTCAAATCACGAACCTAAGTTAGACAACCACCGAAAACTTGGGAGCACCATATGAGCGCTTCGTCCTAGTATAGAACTCTCGAAGTGCGTATCCACAACCTCGAGACCGGAAACAGAACCCAGTTTTAGCAAGAAAATAATTAACCCCTAGACCCCTGAGTCGTGGTTCAATGATGTGCAAGTCTAACTTCACGCTATTAGCGACATTGCGCGACCATCTTGCACTACCTTTTGCGTATACATTACTCACACTGGTCACAATTTCTCACGGCGGTGAAACGGCTGTTCAGTGCTCCCACGTTTTCAATAGTTGTCAAATTTAGATCGATTAGTGATTTCAATAGGCACTGAACAATTGTCACTACACACTGAAAGGAATGGCAGTGTAAGTAAACAAAGAGAAGTTGATCAAATATTTATTACGCGTGGAATTCATCTATAATCCAGGGCACACAGAACATTACAAATCCATTTGTTTTCAAGTTCCTCAAAAGGTATGTCTTTGATATGTTGAGCCAGTCAGAAGTAGCCAAAGGAAATGGTCACTTGATGACGACCTGAAGGCCAAATGCATATCATTGGCCAAGAAGTTTATTAATATTCTATGGGATAGTTGAGTACATACGTACATACCTTCTCGCTCAAGTAGCCGCGAGGAGAGGTTATCGTGTATTACATCGCCGCTGTAGAGGAACTTGATGTTCTGTCTCACAACTTTGTGCTTCTTCTCTTTATACTACAGTAAAAAACCTACAGAAATATTTGCTACTCAAACTTCTTTAACTTGTGATATATTTGTCTTGAAATTGTTAAGCGACCTGAAGATGATTTTATTTCATATGCAACATTAGTTAACAAGCAATGATAAATTTTTAAGTTGCATTCACTTTCTGACGAACAATTTAAGTGTCTCATGTTTATATGCGGATTGCAATCATCGTCAGACTCAGATTGTAATTTTAGGCAAAATAAAGTCAGATCCCAATCTAGTTGCTGAACTGTGAGGCATGGCATTACTCCCGTTTCTGCCTATTCTATAACCATAAATGAGCAAAATATAAATATAAATATATAAATATAATTGGTCATAAGGACGGAGTTTGCAAACGCGAAATATCTTCGTCGCAATATCGAATCAACTGCGTACATGTTCTGTCAAAATCTAACCCCCTAAACTTACGCAAACATGTAACTATTAATGTTAATGAACCCTATAAAGTACCATAAGATGCTAAAAATGTGAATCTTTAACATATAGGTAAATCCCAAACACACGTATGAAATTCATGAGAAAAGGATAGTGGATATTTTGTAAGTCGTTTTAACAGTATATCTGAAGTCGCTTCTAATCTTTACCTAGAATAAGTACATTTTAGGCCAGTCCATTTTTCCTGATATCTATATGTCCCTCAAATGACCCAAATTCATTTTATGGAGTGTTCATCATCTTCAAAACCTCCTTCCAATCTAAAAATTTCCACCAATGTATCATAAACTGATAAGTATTGGTATCAACATTCATTTCAAAATAATCCTGTGCACCATATGGCTTGATAATCTACCCCCTAATATACACATGCTACTTACATCTTAATCAAGTGTAACAACTGATAAAAGATGTGTAATAACGTTACTCAATGGTTGATAACACCAGATAAATTATTTGAGAACTTATTTTTAATTTAATATTAAGAACAGATGAAATTGAGTACAAAATAAATATTCAGCTTTTTTCAAATTTCGATGGGGATATCTATTTCTTCTTTCTTTATGATTTCATCATTCATAACGTGATGTAGCAACTTGAGATGATGCACTTTCGTTTTATATGACTAAAATTGATTCTAAATTTAAATTTAGAAAGTGTAAAAAAACACTTACGCACAGACTTTCAATATATAAACAATCACCGCAATAACAAGGAAATTTAAAAATTATCGTATTTTCTTTCCTTCATTTTTAGAAATACTTCTCAGACGGAAAGTACCAGT